AGCTATATGAAACATTGGAGAGTGTTGGTATTTTATCTGCATTAATATTTCCTTTACCTTTGCATTCTCTGCTACTTACTTCAGTTCTGTTGTACTGGTCAAATTCAGAAGATATAAATGTCCCCTCAAAATCTACATGTAGTTCTTACTCTTTCCTGACTTCCCCTCCCCCCCTTCCCCCCCAGCCCATTAATTACAACCATTTCATATTGTATTAGTACGGAGATTTAACGTACAGTTAATGCATGACTTTCTCATCAAGGACAGAGTGCATGGAAGCTGCCTATATTACTTCCAAAACAAAGTTTGTTTTCTCCAGTTTGTTTTCCACTGTGCCTCACTGATTAATACTGCTGTATTTCAAGAAACTATTCTTCCAAGCCCCAGACGCAAGATGCAAATCCTACTTTTTATCCTCTCTTCACACAGCATTTTCATCTCAGTAATTGCTGATGACCATTAGCACTTTGTATTTCAACAAATAACAAGACTGATTATAACCATGAATGTATTAGTCTTAATGTACTGTAAATACCTGGTTAGAACTGCATTATAGAAGTTGTGGAGCAAGTCTTATAGCAAGGCACCAAAGCTAATGACAACAGTTACAGGAAGGACTGAAGTTCACAGTGAATTGTTGTTCATATCTCACTGTCTGGCTGGGTTGTATAGGTTTTCTTCAAATCTGTGTAAAAAATAGGGTGTCCAGAAACCGTTTGCATAGGGCTCATGCTGTCTTATTTGCTTACTTTTATGGACATTAATTTCTTATCCATTAAGACAAAATCTGCCACTTTATCTGTTTCTAAAATCAAGAACTGTCTTTTGTATTTTCCACATGTGGCAAACATCAGATGCCCAAGACTCTGCTAAAATTCAGAAATTTACCTAATTTGAAAGATGGAAAGTCAAAAGCAAGACTCTTAACAGCTTATCCTGGGAAATAATAAAAATTATTTTTTTATCATTTGTGTTTTCAGTGCAATAAACATATCCTTGATTTAAGTGGCCCTGAATGATGTCTGTGAAATACAGCATAATGTTGAGAAGACTGGGATCTGGGCAGAATGCTTACTGCAAAGTTCGGAGTGCACTTGATGTACCTTCAGCTGGGTGCAAGAGTACCAAACTCTTGGGAGCTGAAACAGTGCATTAATCAACTTTTTTTTTTGTTTTGTTTTTTTAACATGTCGTCACTTGTTTTGTATATTAGGCATTCCAAAATTGTTGGCCCTCTCCAACAGAAGTGATTTTGTGTGGCTCACAGAGGCTTTGGCCCCTGTTTTTACAAGCACTGAGAGTTTTGTACATGACAAAGCAAATCTAAAAGTAGTTTTCTTTATATGAGGCGTTGTCAGGGGCACTCATCTGTCTCTGAGCCCCTAAAGACTATTTCCATAGAATCATTGAGATTGAAAAAGTCTTCTAAAATCTAGTCCAACCATCCACCTACCACCAATATCACTCATGAAACCATGTTCTTTAATATTAAGTAGATATGATTCTTAAACACCTTCAGGGACAGTGATTCAGCCACCTCTCTGGGCAGCCCATTCCAGTGCCTGACCACTCTTCTTGAGAAGAATTTTTTCCAAATATCTAACCTTAACCACCCCTGGTGAAAATTTTGAGGTCTTTCCCCCTCATTCTGTCACTAGTTACCTAGGAGAAGAGGCCAATTGCCACCTCACTGTGTTCTCTCTTCAGGCAGTTGTAGATACCAATAATGTCTCTCCTGATCCTCCTCTTATCCATACTAAACAATCTCAGTTCCCCCAGCCACTCCTCATAAGATTTGCATTCCAGTCCCCACACCAGTTTCATTGCCCTTTTCTGGTCAAATTCCAGAGTCTCAATATCTTTCTTGTAGTGAGAGGCTGAAAACTCAACACAGCATTCAAGATAAGGCCGTACCAGAGCTGAGTACAGGGGAATGATTACCTCCATGCTCCTGCTGGCAACAATATCTCTAATACAAACAAGGATGCCATTGACTTCCTTGGCCACCTGAACACATGCTGGCTCACATTCAGCCAAGCATTGACCAGCAACTCCAAAAGCATTGCGCACAGCATTTGATCCTGTTAAACTTCATCCTATTGGCCTAAGCTTAGCAATCCAGGCTGTCCAGATCTCTCTGTATGGCCTTCCTACTTTCAGGCAGATCAATACTTCTTCACAACTTGGTCAATTATCTCACCTGGGAATGGCTAGGATATTCACTATCTATTCCACTAAATAAAAAATGCAGAATCTCTGAGTGGCTGGATTAGCAACTGTTGTCCAAAAAGCACAAGTCAGTTCCACTTTTGATAGTGTTGGTTCTATAACTATAGAAGTTTGTGCCTGAGAAATATATTGACTAGGCCAGGACATTCTTTTTCTTTGCATGAAAAGAACTACGTAAACACTCTTTTCTCCTATACACAAAGGAATTACTGATCTTAAAGGCCTCAATATGCAGCTGTTATCAAGAATAGATTGGACAAGATATAACTGCAGTAGTGAATACTTCCATATCTTTCAGTAGGTCCCTATAGGCAGAATGTAAGCTATATGTGATTGTGTATGAAGCTTGCAAATATCATAGGATAAACTCAAAATATCATGTCGGTGATGTTTCTTGTTTCTGAATGAACTAACAAGCAGAAATTCAATACGGGTGTAGTGTCGAGTACTTGCTAATAAGCATAGCTATCTTTAATATAAAAAGACATCTGGAAATGATGTTGTCAAAGGAATTGCCTGTTTTTATCCATTAAAAAAGTAAATCTCTTCTTAGTGCTTTTGTTACATGGGTCACATTGTGTCTCGTTTGATCAGCCTGTGTTGTATCAAAAAATGCACACACAGTGTACAGTGACAAAGCTCAAAGCAATATGGTAGAGGACACATTTTCAGTCTAATAAGTGGGAAGCTGCAGCTGTGTCTTCTACCAAAAATGACAAGCAATGTATTTGCTTTCCAACATGCAGCTTTTCACTATTGGCTAAGAGCGTTGTAGGCAGAAGTTACCTTAGAAGAATGCAGTAGGCCTTAAAAACAAGCATGTCACCTCTAATCTGCTATGCAGCCTGAAATAATGACATCCCTCCCATTACATTCAGTAAGGGCTAGGTGTGTGATATGCTATTATATCAGTGCAATCCAAACATAAATTAGATCATGGTCCAAATTAGATTCCTACAAGCTTCCCTTTGCAGGAAGATGGCTCTTTTTTTTTTTTTTTTTTTTTTTTTTTTTTTTTTTAGCTTAAATTCTCACATACTGAGTAACTTTACAAATCCTGTTCCAAAAGCAATTAGTAAGCAGGATGGAAGAGGGCCAAAGCCCACTGAGCCCCAGCCAGAAATATTATGCTTATTCCCATGTATTTCTTTTTATGTGTTCCCACCAGATCTCTCACAGATCCATTTTTGTTTTTACTTTCCTCATTATGATTTCATAATTCTCTGTACTCATTCATTGTACCTTTTCTCTTTCATTTTTTAATTTTAGTTCATCTGTCACTAGTCTTTGAACAGTGCCTATTCTATCCAATTTTACAATACTATATGGAAAACAGAATTGAAAAGGTTTTAACAATAAATCCTTTTTTCAGACTTGAATGGGCAATGGTGATATTATAATTCTTCTTCCTACTTGAAATACCTAGTTATTACTAAAGAAGAAAGTGAACTTAAAGCCTCTTAACATTAATTCCACCTGATGGTGATCATCTTATTTTTAACTCCCACACTCTTTCTGATTTCTGTCCCATATTCAGACAATCAGGAACTACCATTGTTGGCATTTTGTAGTGTGAAACCTAGCATGCGTATTTTAGCACATACATCTAAGAATTTACATCAAAAGTCTTGTCCTGCCATTCACCTTCCAGTCATCTTCCAAACCTGATACTGTCTCACACACGGATCTCTGAGGTCAGAATCATATTATATGTGCACATAGGGGCCTAACTTAATTACAATATGCAGTCAGCAGGAAGATGTCAGGGGTCTCTAACCTTTGTGCAAAATTCACTGTAAAAGAAAGTGAACAACAGTAAAGGAAATCATGAACTATGCTATGGTACATACATAAGAACACATACACATATGTGATCAGCTGCTTTTTGCCATTTTTTGTGATACAGTGGTAGTTCTCTATTATTTTAGAAGATTGCCTCTTGAACCTACTCTTCCCTGTGCAAATGCAGTACTACATGCCACCTGGGAGGGCAATTATCTTTAGTCTAGAATAATTTTTATTTGCTATAGATCTCCAAACTTTTCCTATAGCTTTCGAAGCATTTTCTGCAAAGTATTCATTCCTTGTCAGAAGGATTTCTTTCCCTTATGAAGAAGAAATTTTATACCTGAAACTTGGACCATTTGAATGGACCTGGGACTTTTATCTTAAATGGCAAGTAAAGACAACATCATCTCTTGATCTGTTATAAACATATGTTCCCAGCAAACGAAGCTTTTACTTCTAAGAAAATGGACACATTTCTGTGGCTTATAGTGCACCAATGTCCTTTCCTGGTCTTCACAATAACCAATAATGCTTTAGTAAATGCATCTCAGGTGCTTTTTTAAAAATATTTTGTTTAAAATGCTTAGTAAAGTCCTTTAAAAAGTAATGCAATTCTAGCAGTATCTTACACTTGGAAAAAATAGCTCATATGCAAATTTGTAATGCTAATTATGAATAAATTAAATCCATCATTGTAAGAGCATTTTTTCCTTCCAAGAGGAAAAGAATCCTATATGTATATTTATGATGATGCTTGAGCATGATTTATGAAATATCTTTATATGAATGTTTAATTATTTCTAGATTATGAAGCCCAGTGGTTAGAAAGTAAAGCAAATTTTAAAAGACCATAATACTAGAGCTAAGTTTCATTAGAATGACTGCACTGGTTGTGAAGCAGAGCAGTCAATAAAATCAATAAGATCCACCTTTAAATAAAATAGAAAGTCAAAACAGACTTACAATGTTCCTGATAAAGGTCATATGCTTAGTCATTCAGTGTTAAAACTACAAAAAGAGGCAAAAGTTGATCTCAGAAGAAAAATCAGGATGTTACTTCCTTCATACCCTCAATGCCTTTTTCTGTCTTTGCTGATCTTGATGCTCCTTTCTTTTAAGCTGGCTGCAATTTGATTGTGTTTGAGGAAGTTTCTGCACACCTTGACAACTGTGTGGGGCTTGTTAGTGTGTTTTTTTACCTCTAAAAGACAATCGTGTACATTTGTTTGTGATAATGAGGCTTACTTTTTTCGGTAATCTTGTTTTGCATGCAGTACCAGAATTATTTGAAAATATACTAACAGAGCTAGCAGGAGGAAAAAGAATTAAGAATGGAAGGGAAATCTTTACTTATCCTACTTGCCTTTTTTTTCCTTCTTTTTTTTTTTTTTTCTTCTTTTGTTCAAGAGGGTTTTTCATAAAAGTAAAGTGGCATGATCCAGGCACGACTTGTAAGAAGAATATATCCCACCAATTTTTCTTTTATAGAGAAAAGTGAGAACAGCACTGCTGAAATTCAAGATATTGTCTTCTGCCCACCAGAGCTCCCTGTGGAGAACCCAGAAGGCAGCACATTTGTGAGCTGCTGCTGTGAGAGAAGAGAGAACACTTCAGAATGGGGAAAGGTAGGATGGTCCCAAAGCCCAGTTTTGCTTGCATCACCCATGCTTTGAAAGCATGGCACCTGTTTCTCATAATATAAGGAAAGCGTGTTCATTGTTGAAATAGCTCAGCACAATGAAAACCAGTTATTAGATTGGAGACAATATGAAAGAAGAAAATATCTTCCTGTCCCTCAGTGGAAAGCTAGCCAGAAATGCTAACTATGTTTGTTGGCAAAGTAATTGTGCTTATGATAACATAAAACCTGAGGTCTGGCAAAGCAATTTTCAGAAATTATTATTATTATTAATTATTAAGCAGATGACCCAAACCAGTTCTAGCATCAAAAATAGCAAACATTTTCAAGGAAAATACATCTGTGGATCTGTGCATTGTCTGTAAAGTGTGTTCCATTAAGATAACAGAGAGTATGCATCTTTTGGTATGTGATATTACCATTTTAGTATAGCAGTGGTATGATTTTATTTTTTTCCATAAGGTAGCTATTTCTTGTGAACACCATTTAATGCTACTATACTGGTGCAAAAATCCTGAGATGTTAAGACTAAGTTCTTAAACCAGATACCATTTCTGGTCCATTTTATTTTAGATATGAATGTGTCAATCATTTTGATTTCCATTATAAAATCATTCAGGCTGGAAGGGAGGTGAGGAGATCTCCTCCATTTTCCTGCTCAAAAGACAATCAGCTGCGCAGGTTGCTCAAAGCTTTACCTGGGTCAGGTCTTGAACCCCAAGTCTGGGGAGTACAAAGCCTGTTCTTTTGCTTTACTGCCCTGCCAGTGAAAAAGTATTTCCCGATATCCAATCAAGCCCCTCTTAATCATCTTCTGTATGTATTTCTCATTCCCTCATTAAACCAGCAAGACTGGGTCAGTTCCTTGGATGCAGGATTACTAAGTAGAGGGGGGTGTAGCAGAAACATTTTTTCCAACTCTGGTTCCAAACACTGTTTCATAGCCATCCCTACTTTTGACTGACCAGCATGCAGTTAAGTAAATCAAGTTAACAGTTTCTAAAACCAATTCCTTCAATATAGACTCATTCTCTATTCTGAACAATCATATGACTGTGCTTTTCTGTTGCAATAAGTGTAAAATCCTAAAAAAAAAAAAAAGTAACAGTAATAAAAGAATAATAAATAAAAAAACTAAAACTTAGAAATAATTAAATATTACATATATATTAATATATACAGAGCATCATTGCTCTGAGAAGACTGACCATGATGAGATTAAGGGTGTTTCCCTGGCAATGCAGATACTGAATCTTCATTCTTTCTTTCCGAAAGGCACACCCAGTCCTTGAAAGAACAACTACAAATATTATTTTACTAAAAGCCTTATTCCTGAACAGCTGTGTCATTAAATAATATACTTTCAGTTAAAAAGGAGAACTTATCACTTTGTATAATTTTATGACATTTAGATAATGAGAAGTTAGATATACATTTCTTAATTGAGGCATTGATAGTTTTGTGAACCAGCCTCCTGTACTTATAGAAGAAGAAGGCAGTTAGAGCTTTCAAGAAAAATGACAGAAATCCCTTGTACAATTTACACAGCTCCTATGAAACTCTATAGACTGGAAACATCCCTGTTTGGTGGAAGGGAAGGGAAATATGATTTTCACAGAGATCAAAACAAAACAAAAAATAATAAAAAAGATACTTCAGTTTGGATTTAAAAAAAAATGAGGAAGGAATTTCAGTTGTAAAAAAGGATCAAAACTTCGGTATATGGTGATTATGAATCAGATTTTGCTGGGGAGTGGCAAATTATTGAATGGGAGGCACAAGTTTCTGCCATCTGAAACTTTTTTTCAGTGCTGCCCTTCACAAACTTAAATGTTTTTATTTCACATTATGTAGTTACAGATATTAGGGATATTTTTGCAACTTGAAAAATTCATTTTAAAATATTCAACTTGTGACCGAGAAATTAAATTCTTCCGGTGCACATATTCCATTTCCTATTTAAAAATTCTTCTACTCTTTTCAAATACCATTTCATACAATCTAAATAGTCTTCTATGGAAAGCTTTTGAGTTTTTTCAGACAAACTTATATAAAAATGAAACATGAAAGGAGGATATCATGATCAGATACCTCAAGAAAAGACAGCATTTGAATGGTCAGCTTTAAAACGTGTGTGTAAGTACATGTGATTTTAAGGTAGTTTTACCCCACTACAACTGAATAAGGATTTAATTCATTTCTTATTAAAATAGTAAAATGTGACAAATGAAATATCAATGAACAATGATATAAAATGGTACCAAAGTGAAAAATGACAAATTCATGTTCGTTACTTTGCAAAAGCTCCCTCCAGACACTGATTTCCCAAAACAATCTGTAGTTAACAGCTGCTTGGACACTTCTTGTTTGTTTTATATATTGTACTGCTAAGTGGTCTGTTTCCAGAAAGAATCAAACCTCAAAATGCAACTTTTAAATGCCCTTGGTTTCCTAAGGCCTGTCTTATATTTCACACATTGCACCTCATCTTACTAGAGATATTGCCCCAGATTAAGGTGAGCTCTTGACAACAAAGTTGACTGGTGGTCTGCCAATTTGAGGCATATGTGTATGTATAGGAAAAGTATGAGTCCAGCTTTAGTTAAATGCTTCAATTTCTAGCTCCAGATAAATATCATACATAGGCAAACATGGATAAAATTTTTAATTTGGAGAAAAGCTTAATACTTAGGTTTGTCACCTATGACCCCAGTGTCAGCAGTCAGTTTATGCTCTCCAGATAAAAACAGTGATGACCTGTAGCAGAGTTTCATGCACAGAATAAAATATACAACATGACTGCTTCTACACTAGCAAATTAAGAGTTCTAGAGGATTTTGGGAGCTGTCTTGATCTTCTAAGCCATCCAAATGAGAGAACAGTCCAAGATGGTCTTGGCCTATGTGAACTGGCACTCACCTCAGTAACTCCGGGGCACAGTCTGAGAGTTAGCAAGAGCATTCTCAACAGAAACTCTGGCAAGGGGCACCCCGCATGGGACTGCAAGAGAGATTAATGGAATGGGCATGGGCTGTTCTCTGCCAGCAGGTCTCAGTGCCAGAGAGAGTGGTCTTAGGGTCATTAAACTGACTGGTGAAGGTTTTGCCTTTACTGGCTTGCATGCCCTGCTCAAAGCTAGTGGAGCACAGGCCAATACAGACAATACCCTGTCCTTCCCAGTGGCTTTTTAATGGGGGCTCAACCCTACTGTGATACAGCCATGGCTTTAGATTGTTTCCTAAAATAGTCAGAATATGTCCAGATCAGCTTTCAGCATGTCAGGTACTATGCTTATTACCAGATCACTGTCCAGGCAGTGGGATGACCTGCAGACTACTTAGCTGTGTTTGATTATTAACAAAATTCAAATCACAGTTATTCTGTTTGTGCCATGTCAGATAGCAATTCCTGAACTCTGACCCTTCAGGAAAAATATTCATTTCTCTTTAGAGACATATGCTTTGAATTTTTGCTAGTGTGTGTTCAAATGATTTACTGTAGACGAATTAGGTAATTTAATTGACACAACTATTTGTAATACTTGTGGAAATAGCATATAATGCCTTACTTTTTGAATTCTTGTTTTTATCATGTCAATTATCCTCAGTTTTCTAATCAAATGATTTTGTGGAAGACATACAATGAGATAAAGCATGACATAAGAATTTATGATTAAAAAGAAAAACTCTACTTGCTTTTCAACAAGGTATTTTGAGCCTGTTCACCTTTCTTACGCAAATGATATATTATACCATCCTAGCACAAAGAACCCCATATGAGATGGTATTTTTTTGTTTAAAATAAAGAGCCTAGATCTCATCAGAGAGATGCTGATTTTACTGGATAGAGAAATAATAGTGCAGCAGGTACTGTGGAAGCTTCCCCACAGAGTTCTGCCAACAGAGCTGAAGTTTGACCTGCAGTACCCTCTGTTATTTTATTGCCACTGGATGCCAATTAAGTTCATCACTAAAACTGCAGTAACCTGTTCACCACAGTTTGATATCTTTGATGAACAAACAACCTCATTCCTATGCTGAAGTTCATGAATGAGCGGACTGATATTCACCTGTTCAGCACAAAATAAAAATGATTTTGAAATCAAGTAACTGTATCTTTTATCAGAAAAGTCCATTTGTTCTACAAGTGGAAAGTAATACATCTGCTTAAACTGTTGTGACAGTCAGAACATGTGATCCCAAATGTTTGTGCACTAAATGGTTTTTCTAGGATGTAGACAGATGTCTATGCATCCTGAGTCAGGAGCAGCCCGGCTCGGCATGTAAACTGGTGCCTGTTCCCTGTTTCATGTTTTCAGAGTGCTCCTCTGCCATGCCTACACATACGGAACTGGCATTGGGAGTGGTAGGGAGGGTATACACAGCTGGTCATACAATAATTCAGACAATGATGGTTTTGGAAAATATCACAGAAGGAAATGTGCTGCATGTTTGCTCATAGTATGTCTGGCATTCACATATACATACCAGGTCACATGGCAAGAATATAGCATATCGGACTGACAGTAATATATATATGCAGTATAAAAGTGACAGCATGAGGCATTGACATTGTCCCATCACTGGCTTTGTGGCTAGAAATTTCTGAAAGACTAAGCATCTCTGCTTTAAGTCGATTCTCACTACGAGAGCACTTAATAGACAATATGCAAATCCTTCCCTTACCACAGTGATTTGATTCTTACAGCAAAATAGTTGAGATCAGGAAGCTAAATACATCATATTTTGTGATACTGACTTGGTAATCTCAAACATAGCATTAAGTTTTACAATGCATCACATAACAGAACTGTAAAATAGAAACACTAAGCTCTATATAATTCTGCTAGTGGAAAAAAAAAGCATTGTACTTTAAAAAGAAAAAAAATCGTTTTTGTTCATGTGTTTTCTTTTCAACATCTGGACCTCAGTTAGAAAGAAACAGTAATGCATTTATAAGTCTGCAATACTTTTCAGTTGTAGCAGCTATTTCATGAACTCAAGAGCAAAGCAATTCCAAATTGGAAAAGTACCAACCACTCCTACTATTCAACAAAATGTTTTCAGAAGCTGTAAAAATTGAACAAAATATAAATAAATAAATAAAAAATAACCAGCCTGCACCAGATTCAAATTTGAATATAATGAAAATAATCTGCTTGGGATCTAACTTGTCAAATACTATCTTTAGCACTCTAAATTCACAGTCAAATCCATCTATAGTCACCATCATCTTTCAATTCTTCACAGTCTTCTACAGATGGCAGTAAAACCAATAACCAATCCTTGTTGAAAAGATTCTAATCCTGAGCACAGTGATTTTCCAGCAAGCATGGCAGTTGACTAACTTAGACGTATTAGTCAACTGAATCATGCATGATTTTCAGATCAAACACAAGGACAGCCAATTACAGGTGAGGTCAGTAGTAACATCAGCTGTTCCTAGAGATAACAGTAACAGTAACTGTAGGGACATTGGTGGTATCTCAGTAGATATAAGACACCTATGCCTGGCAAGATCTTCAGCTAACAAGATATTTTACTGTGGTACTGCTCAGTGTTTGAGCCACACAAAATGGTGAGCCACACAAAACTAAAAACAATTCAGTAGCTCCTTACAGAAAACCCTTAATAAATACAGATGATAGAAATGAACTGAGGGAGAATACTTATTTAACATTCTGCTCCATTACATCTGTCTCCATCTGAGGACCTAATTGATATGGCTAGTATTAACACATTCATTCTTTCAGGTTCATCTTTATGCTGTAACTATTATTCCCACCATAGAATGCCTGCCCACATCCAGTGGGAGAAAATAGTATGTGGATCTCAGAACTGTGTTGTTCTTTTCCCAGCTCCCATCTGTCACTGGAAAAGGGGAAACCTGAGTCCATGGAATATTTGCTTTCATGAACCCTTGTTAAGAGCAGAGTTCAAAGCATTGCCTTTAGAAGTCAGATGATTTATGGAACCTCTATTTACAAAACAGCTTACTTGTTAGAGAATGGAACTGGAAATTCAGAGACCAGCTAAGGCTTGAATAAGAAAAGGTGGAAGAAGAACTGAGGTCTTCTTCACTTAAACACCCTAAGCTATAGGATGCTAGCTGTGATTGCTGTGTAAAACTGGGAGTAGAACTATAAAAGCAGATATCACACTCAAACATGGGACCCCAGGTTCCTCCCTCTTAAGTTAATCTCCAAACAGCTAAACCAGGAATGGCCAACTGTAGCAGAAGTGCTAAGTCAGGGCTTGAATCATTGATTGAGCACCTCCTAGGAAAGCAGGGCCAACCCAGGCCAGCTCAGATGCATACAATGCATGTGGGTGACTGGAAGGGGTTGAACCAGGATTCACCCCATCCCAGACCTCATTTAAGAGTTGGCAGTAGAGGCAAAGCTACCTTGCTTGAGATCCTAGACTTTCTGAGGCCTTCAAAGGTAAATAGTTTTTCTTCCTTTTTTTCTGAATCTATAGCTGCTGCATTTGGGCTTGCTGAATTGTGCCACTCTGCTATTATTACCATATTTTCCATTGCATTATAGTATTATACCAGTCTACTTAGTTTCACATTAAGTATATATTCATTTGGTCAACAGCCATACAACATCTATGGTGAAGCCGCCTTAGGAGTGGCTATAAACAAGAGATGACAAGGACTCTTCAGAAGAGATGCCGTTCCATTATCAAGCAGAACTGAAATTTTCTGGAAATCCTCATTCAAACTTAATGTGATGCCACTAAACTTTTACTCTCATTATGATTTTGCTTTGCCAGGATGTTATAGTATATAGAGTATATATAGTATATAGAGATGCTACTGTTAAGCAGTGTTATTGCACTTACCAATTAAGACAAATACAAGTGCACTGTTGAGATCACTGATCCTGTCAATGTAAGTCATCCGTACTTATGTATGTTGATTAAATCAGGCTTTCTAGAGGATTTAATGCAGGACTTTACTTGAGTTTGGGTCTTGGTGTGTTTTAAGCAAAAATTTCTTAACTAAGTCTTGCAGCCAAAACAACACCCGTAATTACCTGAAGAACTGAACAGAGGAATGATCTGAACTTTCAAAGCATACTCCTGCAATACCATATTTAAAGTCTCTGTTTTACATTTAGGAATGATTTTAGATTTTGCTTAAATCATACTTCAGCACCTGTGTTCATCTTTTATTTCTTCTTAATTTCCTTCCATCAATCCACTTCAGCCAGCCAAGTCATTCTTTTTTTAAGTAGGTCTTGTTATATCCCAGTTTTTTAGAGGTAGAGAGCCAGAAGAGTTGAAGAGGATTATCCCTGTCTTCTCTCTTCTTGAAAACTTTTCTTCTAACATGTCTTTTGGGAAAAGAAATGCCAGGGCAAAATCTGTTCTTAATGGAATCGGAGAGGTTTGCGCTGTCTTCACTAACAACAGTATTGAGTCTTTAACATGATTTAACCCAAGAAGAACAACCTTGTGAATCTGATTAAGCACACACTGTAATAATTATTCTGACAACTTGTATCTTCCTTTCCACAAGCTGACATTGAGCTCTGGGGTAAAGTGGTTCCCAGTTAGATGGAGATTAAGCAATGCAGGAGATGTTATCTCATCTCTGACCTTCAATAACACCTCCATAGTGAGATGCATTACTCTGATCTCTCAAAGGGGAACTTGCTCATGATTTGCTGGATAAAACTGTATTTTTTTCATTGCAAAATTAGACAAATTTCAAGGAAAAACTGCATATTATTACCCTGCATTAGAGCAGGCAAAGCTACAGATTTTGCCTGTTTGGATTTGAGATTTAACACACATCTCTGCACAACCCTCCCCCTCCTCAGTGTTCTTCTGAGCAGAATATCAATGTCACCAGAGAGGAGTCATCTTTCCTTTTTTTTTTCTCTACCTTCTCTCCCGTTCCTCCTCAGCGAGTTTAAATTTCATTTACTTCGGCAAGTCAGCTTTTTCTTTGCCTTTATAAGTTTTAATCCACCTTGTAACACTACCTAAAAAGAAGTGAAATTAAGCTGCAGTGTGTACTAGCAGCGAAAACCTACTTTATTTATCACTCAGTCCTACTTTGCCACAGACTGACCTAATTACAGCCCACACCAGAGGGTTATGAGGAGAAGCAGAAGGAGCGCTTCTGCCACCTAGCGACACGCGTGGTCCCGCAGCAACCAGCAGCAGCCCTCTGTGAGCTTCGCATTTTCGTATCCCTAGCACTTAGGAGCAAACGTCCTTCCTCAACCTACCCGCATGGATCTTGGGCTTATCTTGGGCATTCTGCTTTCACTGACTCCAAACAGCTTTCATGGGTGAGTTCTGTTCTTGCAGACTGCTCTGGAGCTGGTAACCTGCAACAAGGCAGGAAGTATTGGAAATAAATAAATAAATCTCTTGAAGATGTGAAGTATGGCAGAAAAACAGTGTTTGCACAGGGCTAATACATGTCTAAAAGCAGAAAATGTTTTGTGTGTGCAGATTTAAGCTGAAGTTTTTGAAGGCAGTGCAGAACACTGGGTGTCTGCGCTGTCACAGCAGTCGGAAGCACAAAAGATTTGTCTTAAGCACTTCTGCAAGATTTTCCTTCTCCCTCTCCTGAAATTATAATTTAGGTAATCTTGTTCTTATTAAGTGACAGGTGATCAAGTACCAATTAACCTATTTCTCCATGATATCATTTTCAGCATGAGCTTCTAGGACCGAAATTTTTTTGTGTGTGTATATATATAGCCACAGATGCACAAACTTTAGAGTGGAACAGAAATTCCTTTTGAAATCTAAGGTCTTTCTATTTTCCAGGACATGCATCCAGATTCCATTCAGTGCATTTCAAAGCATTTCAATAGCTTTATCCTCAACTGCTATGACGGTCTTTTTTTTTTTTTTTTTTTTAATTGAGATTCTGTTGTTAAATTAAATGTACTTCATTGGCATTACTTGCTGTGCATAAGTGAAAGGATTTGGGTTCTTAAGAACCTGAAAGCAAATCTTAACACCCTTGTCCAATGTGTGCACACTGAAAAAGATGGCCACGAGTGCTGCTCTGGAGATAATGCATCCTGTTTTATTATTGTCTCTTGACATCAGAAATAGATGTTGGTGATGTGACAGTGGAGATTGAACTTTTCCACCATTATTCCATTACATTTTATTGCTATGTGACAGATGGCATAAGGGGGGAAGAAATTGCACCCACTGACATTCACTGACACTTGCTAAACATCTATGAAGACTGAGGAGTAGATGTTAGCACATTGAGATGGGGTGTAGTCCATTTTCCAGTTATGCTGTCATAGTAGCTGTGGAACAGCAATACAGGTATTCACAAGTTTGACATGCGGGTTCTTGTTCATCTCTGATGGAAGTTCATGCCCAATGATGGTGACTCTGAAGAAGAGCAAATTCTTGGCTACAATAACTATCTGGTAGTGCAGTTGTGTTCTTTACATTTATTGTAGTTTCAATTGAAGTAAGTTAGAGGTGTTACTTCAAAATCATAGAATTTTTGGAGATGGCCTTCAGAGGTCCCTTCCAAATTGTCCAACTCACCTGCAATGAACAGGGACACCACAGTTAGATCAGGTTGCCCAGGGTCTTATCCAGAGTCTCCTTGAAAATTTCCAGGGATGGGGCATCAAGCACAACGTGAGGCAACCTGTTCCAGTGCCTCACCACCCTTACTAGGAAAGATTTTTGTTTTTTTTTCCTTATGTCTAACCTAAATCTACCCTCTTTGAGCTTGAAGACATTCCCCCCCCCCCCCCCCCCCTTTTTTTTTCCTATTTTATTTTTCTATCATCATCCTATCTGTCTCCTTCTTTCCTGTTGCTGTTCTCTTAGATACTCAATGTGCTGCTACTGGGTCATTTCATAGTATTCTCTTTCCAGGCTGAACAAACCCAGCTCTCTCAGCCTTATCTCTCCTCACAGATAAGGTGGATCATTTTTGTGGCCCTCCACTGGATGTGCTCCAACAGGTCCATGTCTCTCCAGTACTGTGGACTCAACCTCTGGATGCAGTACTCCAGGTGAGGCCTCACCAGCGTAGAGGGGCAGGATCACTTCCTTCAACCTGCCGTCCATGCTCTTTTTTTTATGCAGCCCAGAGTACAGTTGACTTTCTGGGCTGCAAGGGCACACTGCTTTCAGAGTAACCTACATATTATTTTAAACAGTGAATGCTAAAAACCTTTTGATTTTCCTTCTATTTAGGGTATTTTAGTTAAGTAGTCCAGTGCAGCTAATATTTCTGTTGACTTTCATATAATGTATTATAAGAATGAAAATTCAGGTTTCAGGATGCAATCTTAATCAAGAATTATTCTGACAAGTTCCTCCATGTTTTCCAATCATTTCCAGGATGTTCTCATTGGCAACTGGAGTGCACGTACAAATGCCTTACAATAATTGTGAACTTTATTTTGCAAGTCTGCCTTTTGACTTTAAGGAATACTATCACTATTTTTCACAAATATTTTCTAGTGAATAATTCAAAACTTGCTCTATTCCCTCTATTGTGAATGCTCAAGTTTTCCAGAAATACGCCTGGTGTGAGCATGACAGCTTCCTCCCAGACCATGTCTCCCCTGTTGCCTTGCCAGGGTTCCAAGGCAAGAAGGGGGAAAAAAAAAGTGTTGTATATGAAGTTGTGAAAGAATTTGTTTTTCAAATACACTGTAACTTAAATTCCACCCTGTGCTGCAATGGAGATTAGATACTTTGGTACACAGGTAATTTTTTCCTTAAAAGAGTGTAAAGGCTGTACAAAATACATGCTTTACAGCTTCCTTGTTTCTATGGGGATTTGAACCAAAGGACCTGGTGCTGAGGTCATCTGTTCATAACAGTTAACCCAAAATATTTCTCAGAAAAATGTATATCAACTACTTGCTGTGGAGATAAAAATTTCTTACGTTGGTGTAGTTTTGGCTGTTTGGCACACAGTGTTTTATTTCACTTCCATTGGTAGTCTTAACTCTTTTCTGTTTGAGTTGCACACTCAGCTTCTCAATTAATTATGAAGCATTCATATATCAATGATAAGTGTGGCAATAGAGCTGTGAGCTTCCTTGTCAGTGCAATGGAAGAGTTGCTGACTCGTGTGCTGGTGTAGAACAAAGAACTAAGAACAACCTTTATTGTAGGTGCTTAGAGCACTTACGCTCTTGCAACAACAACTTGAACACACATAGGAGCCAGGTACCTCGTTTACAACTGGCTCAAGTTACTGCTGAACTTGTTTACTCATTAGCAAGGTAATGACTTTCTTTATCCCACAGATAAACAGTAGAAGAAAATCGGATGAGGAACTGATCAAAACACTGTACAGTGTATAACTAACAGAAAGACATGCTGAGCATTGAAAAGAGGCTGAAAACTTCTGTCAAAGTAAGCACTGTCTATTCTGTATGTTGACTAGAATCTGGGTCCTACTGAAAGATACAATATAAATGAAGTCTGTACAAAGAAAAAAACACCTATCCTGATTGTTGAGCAGATTGATAATCTATGGACAAAAGTAAGGCAAAGCATAATTCTAGGACCTTGACTGTCTCTTATGTTGCAGCTCAGGCCACTTTCACTCCTGTGATCTTGTGGGTGAGGTGGAATGAAGCACCTCTTGTACCTTTCACCAGAGAATGAATAGAGAGTGCTTGACACAGGAACTTAGAATTATAGAATAGATCAGGTTGGGAAAGACCTTCAAGATCATGAAGTCTAACCATAACCTAATCAGACCACACTCACTCTAACAACCCTCCACTAAATCAGGTCCTTGAGCATTACATCAAAGCAGTTTTTAAACACTTCTAGGAATTGAGACCCAACTAACTATTCCAGTACTTAACAACCCTTTCTGTAGAGAAACTTCTCCTGAGTTCCAGTCAAAACTTTCCCTGGTGCAACTTGAGGCCATAAACAATGTTCTTCTAATACATTTTTTGAATGTAATATTACAAATAATCTTGACACTGCTTCTTTCCCTGGAATATGGATCTTTTTAGATAGTAAAGGAAATGCACTAAAAATTTCATTTGTGTTACTTGCAAAGACATTAGGCACTGTCTCATCTATGATATCAGGCATATTATAAGCATATCAGAAAAATAAATTTCCCTCTCATCTGTGCAGGTGGGTTGAATTTCCACTCAATTTTTCCAGTATACAGTTATTAATGAAAGGGTGTGGTGATAGAAAGGTGGAAGAGGCAATGTTTTCTGCTTTATTAGGAAAGGAATAAAGAAGCATCTTGTTATAAATTGCTCTGAAGACCACCCATGGCTCTTAATTCATTGCTATGATTCATCTTTAGATTCTCCTGAATGCATGTTCTCCTGAAGATAGGCATGACTATCAGCGTTTGTTATTTTGGATCTGTTTTGATTCCTACGTGACTTGTGCAAGGGTCTTGGAGAGATTTCAGCATGTGTATGCTTCTGTCAGTTGGAAGGAGTGCACAAACAGTGCACTTAGTACACTTGAATCTCAAACAGAAGCTCAGTAAATGGGATCAGATTGGAAGAATAAAAAAAATAAACTTCCAAAATGGATCTAATTGGCTATTACATCCTCAGCACAAAGTATTTTCCTCTACTTGCTATTATGGACAGACTTTTCCAAGAGCCTAGTTGTATAATTCTTTCCATTCATGATATGATTGCTTTAGTTTTGTTTTGTTGTTGTTGTTGTTGTTTGTTTGTTTGTTTTTTAAAAAAGTAGTATAATTCTTCAAGCAGACATTTTCTAAACAGGTCAGGAGAGGCTTCAAATGTAATTTGATACTAAGCGTAAATGCAGGCAGCAGAATGAATTTAGTTTTCAAAACGTCTGATGTGTCATGGAATAAAGCAAATATTTGAGAGGGAAATTAAAATCTATCTATCATAGGAATTCAGATTTAACAATTATTTAAGCAACAAAGATTCATATATTAATGCTTGCGTTCTTCCCATGTCCCAAGCAAATGCTCTGGAGAAGTATAGGTAACATGGGTATTCACAAAAATATTGTCTTTTCTGTTGGGGGATCATTACATTGTACAAATATGTTCTTATTTGGGAAAAGCAATTTCCCTTATCCCAAATGAATCTTCAGTGCAATCAATAAAAGACATAAGTGCTTATAAATTAGGCACAGCAGAAACTTCAGAACATCTGCTGATGGCCATCAGCACCTGAGTATGCCTTGCTCAAGCAAAGAAATACAGCGAGAGTATCCTGAGCAGAATTTCTCTAGTTCCTCTGCAGATAACTCTTTAGGGATTAAAAATACTGAGCAGAATTTCTCTAGTTCCTCTGCAGATAACTCTTTAGGGATTAAAAATAGAAACGAAGAAAAAGCAGCGCCAAGTGTCTGAAAATACAACATCTGAAAATAGGAAATTGTAGGTGAATTCACAGGAGAATGATGCCTGAGAACAGGTCTGTTGTTCACTGTCCCAGATGTGCTGAAGAAAGGCTCTTAAAGTTTGTATCTCCTTTCCTCAGACAACATGCACTTATCAGCAAGTGGGGAAAAAAAGTTCATGCTGACTTTCGTAGAGAGCTTAAGCTATGTCTAGAGTGCTAAAAATATCCACGCTGACCTCAGTGTGAGCATGACAAGGCCTAGGAATGAACTGGAAAGCTAAGCTTTTTAAGAATGCAGTTACCCTTAGCAGACTTGGTATTGTTTTTATAGCTTGAGATCTATTTTCAAAAAGTGATAGTGGACAGAGATCCTCTATCCTGCAAATGCATTCTTCAAGCTGCAGCCAAAGAATGTGGCAGGAACCCTATGAAACTTTGAAGGTTTTAGAGAAACCTAATGGGCTTGGTGCATCAGTCTAAACAACAAAGTTGGGTTGTATCTGGAAGGAAGACGCTGTTGCATGGAGTAGGAACAGAGACTTCATTTCTTTCTTGGTACAGACTGCTCCATGGAATCCTCTGGGAAGAAAATTGTTCTGACACAGAGAGGTAGACCTGAGTTCCCTGCTCCAATTGGCAGATGGAGAAATAAATTTTCCCTCTGAAGTCATTCATCCTTTAGACTCATAAAATATGTTGCAGACTGTATGATGAGGGCACCTCTTGTCTCCAGCTGGATCAGGTCTAACATTACTGGTACCATACAGACTAATCAGTCTGACTTATGTCTTCGGAATGAAGCAAATAATACTCAGTATCAGGCATCAGTAGGAACAGTAGTCTCAGGGAAAACGTTGCTAACTACAGTTAGAAAGTCTTAATCAGGTTATCCTAGAATCCTACCTCATAAACATTCTAAATAGTACAGCTTGAAAGCTGTGTTGTATTATCAAGATATTCAATACATTTATGGACCAGAGCATAAACATTTCCACTTGAATGCAGCTATCATAAATTATGTTGCCAAGAGATAACAGATATTAGCTTGCATCTGAATATAAGAAAATGATTGTTTTAACATGGGGAAGGGGTACATATTTCTCATGATTTCACTTTCCTCTGCTGCATAGACTTGTAAACAGGGTGGATGCTAGATGTGACAGTGGTGATCTTTATACTATAGAATTTTACTACATCTTGGTTCTAAAATGTTATGCAGAGCTGTATTGTATTTTAATCTGCAGGTGGCCTAAGTGAAGTATTATCCTCTCCAGAGAAATATATATATATTTTCTTCTTTCAATTTTTTTTTTAATTTTTATTTTTTCAGAGGGAATACAGTCTAAGGCAAAGTTCCAGCAACAGAGGAAACTTTCTTAAATCAACAATATGGTAGTGTAAGGAGCAGTATGTCAAAACCACCAAAGTAGAGTGACACAGATTCAATGTAAATACCAAGATCACTGAACAAACACAGTTTTTGTTCACAGCATCTACAGTGTGCTGCTCCACCCTTCTGTAAGCTACAGAGTGACTCTGCTGCCTTCCATTGTGTCCTTGCACGCTCTGTGTCCTTTATCTGTTCCCGTAGCCTTTAGGCAAGTGTATATGCAGCCTAGCTGTAGAGAAGAACAATGAGCAGAATAGAATTTCTGGTACGGAAACACTGTTAATAACTCTAATTTTGGCTTACGCAAAATTAAATGCAAGCAATTCTTATAATTCTGCTACATGCTATACAAGGGAACATCAAAATTTTCCTAGGATGCCAAACTGTAGTCCTTTTATTGGGGGAGTTTGGACATTCTTTATCATTAGACACTCTTTTAGTCATACGTGTGACTCTTAAGATCCCGAATAACATGTCACATCCACTTTGTCACATCTTGTTGGAGAGTTTTGCATTTCCCCTTGTTGGAAATAAGCTATTTGATTTCTCACAATATCTGTTTCATTCAATGACTGAAGAAGCATTCTGATAAAGTGACAATAATTGTACATCTCTATAGCATTTCCAATTTCAGATAAATGGGGAAATGAGAAGGCTTATCCTTTTTTTGCTACTAGTTTACAATATTTTATGGATGATTTGGCTTACATTTTGATCTGAAAGGTCTTTAGCAACTGCATAAAATTCTGTGGTCTAAAGCCTACAGAATACATGCTTTTAAAATGTCTTCAGATCTGTCTAAATAGTGCTGAACGTTGCAGCTATTTTAATGCTTTATCATTTTGGAATGACAATGGTAGATAACGATTTACTTTGAAGAACATTTGATTTTGATTGTCACCTGTTGCTGAGATATAGCTATCCCCAGAGAGCTAGGTACTTAAAACTTATGTGATATAGAGAATAAGCTTTCAGATCCTCTTCTCAAGTGACGTCTGCTAAAACCTAAGCAGATAAATAAGTGGGTTTTGGTTTTGTTTGTTTGTTTTTTTGTCTGTCTTACCAGGAAACAAAGGTTTAAATCCTAAGCACAAGAAATAAACAGATAGTAGAAGATCTGTACAATAAATCTGCCATCTAGTAGAATGACAGTGGCTGAAACATATTAAGGGAAATCATATCAGGACTGAAGGACATAACAAGGCGTACATTCAGTTACCTGACACAGAGTTAATCTATTTAAAGCAGGAAGATGCTTAGATGCTTACAAGGCCTTGGAGCTCTGGTTTTTAAAATTATTTTTGAAATAGAAAGTTTTACATATGGAGGTTGTAAGATTATTATAAAATCTTGAAGTGAGAGTACATAGTACTACCTGGGCTCTGAGATCATGAAGAATGAAAAACTTCAGATTTTTGAGATTGCTTTACCTTACCCAATGACCATTTTTGGCTATAACTTTTGTTTCTTGCAAAGAAACACAATTACTAGCTCCACACAATAGGGGATAAATAGCATCGCTCTTATTCCATATTTAATAAAGCGCATTATTTAATGTGTACGCTAGATATGTGAACTAAATGCATTTATCAGGCTTACTATGTATAAATATATTTTATACTCATTCTTCACACATAAATATATAATCT